ACCCGCTTTTCCACGGCCAGGCACCCCGGCCGGGGTCGGGGACCGCCCCAGGGGAGCCGTCGGGATGAGAGGTGGCCGGGTGGGCTCCTTGCGCATCCTCCCAGCCTGAAACTTGATGCAGCGGGAGAGGCTGATCGCGAGATTAATTGGGCGTTCTCAAAAACCCGACGGCGGGGGGAAATCCACGCTGCCGTGCCGCCTGCCTCCCTGCTCGGGTTCACTGCGGAGCCGGCAGCCTGGGGAGCTGGAGAGGAAGGAGCTGGAGAGGAGGGAGCTGGCGGCCAGCAGAGCCAGGCCCCCCGCCACTTTCGGGGCTCTTCTGGCCCTGCTGCCTCTCGCCTGGACGCTGCAGGGCGCAGGTAAGGCCAGGGACCCGCGGGCAAGGCTGGGGGGCTGCGGGAGAGCAAGGCTGCCCCGTGCCGAAGGGTGCTAGTTCTTCCTCGAACTCGAGCAGGGTGGTACGGCATGCGAACGCGGCTCTGTGGAGAGACCCTAACGCTACTGAAGACCGACGTACCTGGGAGAAGCCCGAGCGTGGGCTTCAGCGACGCAGGCGGAACACCCGTAGCAAGGGAAGGGGGCAGCTGAACCCAGCTCGGCGCTGCGGGCTCGTTGGTCCGGGGCTGTGGAGCGCTCGGGAAGCGTGCCAGGTCCCAGCCCTGATGACAGAGAGGAACAGGGTGATGTCCTGCCCGCCTGCATCCCTCTGTCTGCAAGCTGCTGCCTGAGCCCCCCGCCCCATAAAGGGGTTTCTCCAATATAATGTGTCATCCCTCCTAACGCGGAGCTGGGTTTTGGGGATGGCAGCACGCAGAAGCGATGCTGTGCCTGTGGTCTGTAATCTCAGCTCCGCACGGCACAAAACCGACTGCCAAAACGTTCACGAGCTGTCGTTATTATCTTCTCCTGTTTAACCTTCCTGGGAAATAGTAGAAAAATCATTGTGATTTGCACTGGCATAGCTGAAAGCTTCCTCAGCTGGTTTGTAACGTGGGTCTTTGGGCCGCTCGGATAGACAGCCCCTCTCACCGGGGCATCACTCCCAACCCCAAAACTTTCTCCGCCATTACCCCGGCGGAGGTGGCAGAGGAGGAACAGGAGCAGCACCGCTCTCGCCCTGGCGATGCTGGAGGGAAGGGGGTGGGAAGGTCCAGGCAGATGCACACCCGTGTGCCAGGGCTGTGCCGATTTGTGCCAGGCGAGGTGCCAGCACAGGACTGGGGCCAGGCAGACCGGCACGGTGTCCGCGGCAGGCGCACAGAGCGGCTGCGGCAAACCCAGCCCCATCCTCACTCTGCAAAGCCTGAGCATCCCGATCCGGAGCTCGGT